GGGGGGGCGGGGGGGGGGGGGGGGGGGAGGTTAAATAATCATGAATTAAGTTTATGTAATTGCTTTGTAATGTAAAATACTTGAATAAAAATTAAGATGGATAAATAATGATGACCTATTGTTGACACATAAAAATTCAGCCCAAAATCGAAGAGCTCAAGGAGTAAAGCCCAATTGGAGGATCTTCAAATCAGATAGCCCAAAAAACGAAGTCCATCGAACGAATCAAGGTGAAGGCCCAAATAAGGGGCCCAAGAATGCGGTAACGCCATCGCCCAAGTTTGCAAGTCGCCCAGAGTCTGAACGAATAAAGTGTCATACGGTCGCCCAGAGCTGTTATTCTATTCTCGCCCAAACCTTTAAGTCGCCCAAGGTATCAACAGACATAGCGCATCGTGGTTATCAAGAAATGCAGTTATCAAGGCAGTTGTTAAAGTAGCCTTATCACGTTCCACAACTCAAGGAATTCAATCGAAAGCGGTTGAACGATGAAAGATAATGGCAGCAGTTAAAAGGCAGTTTCATGACAAAATGGCCACTACGAAGAAAGTGGGTAGTTATAGGACGATCAAACAGTTTTTAGAGTAGTTAATCACAGAGAGATCATCTATGAGGTATAAAAGGGGAAAGAACATAGAAGCAAAAGACCGAATCCAAAACTCTCGAACAGAGAATATGTAATTTTCATTTCCTTAGCTTTTAGACTTAAACACTTTTTTTTTCTGTAACTCGTGTGCTTGCGCCCCTTGGAGGCACGTTGTTTTTCATTTCCAATTGTAAACTTCATCGCCAATAAAAGAACACCCCTTTTTGGGACTTTGTCTCAAGAGATTTGTCCCTTACACAATCTTCTTATCCTTTTTAATTGTTAGCAACTTAACCCGCGCGAAACAATTTGGCACGCCCGGTGGGACAGTGGTGTTTGGTGTTGAAAGTACAAAAGGAAAAACAATATGCCTCAGAGATCTGACAAGGAAGGAGCAAGTCAGGGAGGAATCCAGTCTGTAATCGAGCGATATAAGGAGCAGCATGCCTCTCCACGAACAGATGGACAAAATCAGAGCAGTAACAGTCGTTACGAACCAATGACGGAGTTGAGTCCTCGAACCATGCGTGCATTACTTGGGGAACTCACGCAAGACGTCGTTGAACAGGTAAATCTTCGAAGTATTCATAATATGGAAAGATTTACACAAAATGGAAATGCACACTATGACAATATGGCCAAACAGCTAAAAACGTTAAACGAAACAATGAATAAGTTAGTAGGCCAAATATGTCAACCGGCTATACCTCTTGCAAACCACTTTCAAACCAGGACAATTGTGGGACATAATCCCTCTGTCCTAAATCCGAATCAAGGGGTAGAACCGCTTTCTTGTCCCTCTACTTCAAACCAAGGGGGTACTACAATGCCAAATCAAAACAATGGTAATGGCATGCCTAACTTGGGGGGTAATCCAAACGTGAGAGATAATGTCCTAAACAATGGACAGAATATTCCACGTGGTAATGAGGGAACAGATGTCCAGACTAATGGTAATGGCCCTAACTATGGTAATTTTGTTGCCAATCAAGGACCAAACATCAGGCCTCATGTAAATCAACCGGTTAATCAGCCTGTAGGAATTCCATATGATCCCAATGTCATGTTGAGGAACCAGATTATGGAAATTGTGCAGGATCAAATGGCTTTTGGGGTGCGTCCTGTCATTAGGCCGACATATACAAAGCCATATCCTGATTGGGTAGACCAAGCATATCCATGGCCTAGAGGGTACAAAGTGCCAGAATTCTCACTGTTTACTGGCTTAGGAGAGGTGTCTACTCTAGAATACATAGGGCGATTCACGTTGCAAAGTGGTGATGTAACAGATTACCATAAAATGAGATTTTTCCCCAGTTCGTTAACAGGAGTAGCTTTCTCCTGGTTCATCAACTTGCTAGCGAACTCTGTTCAAACATGGTAACAACTGGAACAGTTGTTTCACGCTCAGTTTTATAAAACTGAGTCTGAAGTCACTTTGGCTGATTTGGCGAATCTACGTCAAATGCCAAATGAATGGGCAGAAAGTTTTCTCCAAAGGTTCAAAACAGCAAGAAGCAAGTGTTTTGTACCTCTGCCCGAAAAAGAATTTGTCAAGATCGCACAAGGCTGCTTGAGCTTTGATTTAAAAAAGAAGTTCCAGGACAAGGAATTTCCTGACCTTTTCCAGTTGAGTGCGAATGTGATTAGGTATGAGCGACTGATAAGAGAAGAAGAACAAATGAAAAATTCCAGTAAAGGGACTTATTACAGAGACCCAAATTTTGATGTTCATACCATCGACGACGAATCATACGATCAGGCCGAAATGTGTTTGGCCGAATTGGTAAAAGCTGATACATATACCTGTCCCATAATGGCCAAGCCTAGACCATCGGGCAAAGATGAGCCCAT